TGACTCCGCGAGTACCTCACGGTGCTTCGCGCTTGGTGATGTGAGAGCCTGGTCCGGTGAGAACCCGGCGTGCTCCGTCCCGGCTTTGTAGGGATGCGANGTGTCAGCCGCATGCAATACACTACCTGAGCAATGTCATCTACGAATCGGACAGGCGACTTGAACACACCATAGGATCGACAGTGAAAAATACGATACACACTGTCTGATTCAAAATTCCCTGCAAGCTGCATGAAATACCATCCAGGAACTTCTGGCATCTTCATGTGCGTCTCGTGTGACACCTGCACCGGGTTAGCTCCGAAGAAATGCGAATAGAGAGAGGGGGGGGGTGTTACGCGATGAAGGGTAGTGCACGGCGGTGCCTGGCGGTGCGTGGATAGACATACATCAAATACGCATGCGCGCAGATTTTGGGGTTGAGTGGCGAACATGGGGGCGCGTGCGGCGGTGACAAGGAAAAGGAGCCCCATGGGTGCGATTTGACACGGAACGTCGTTTTGGCGGGGATGGATAGATATGGCCACAACACCCGTGTGCGAAGGTGTACCGATTCTGGTAAAGGTCAATCGACGGATACCCTGCGAATCGGGTCCTCCTTAACATCCTCCACCCACAGAATTTACCCCCACTGGGAACCTCTTGTGGCCAGGACGGGTATTTCGATGGAAGTGTCACAAGGTTCTTGGTAAGGATCGACTCCAAGGTGCTCTCAGGGCTGACACACGATTGTGTCCAAGGGGAAACGCCAAAGGAGAAAAAATATGCACCCAAGGAGATTTGAACAAATGTTCTGCTGGCCACATGTATGTGCAAAGTGCATCCGTTCTGGAAAAATTCAATCGACGACCACCATGCGAATCGGGTCCTCCTTAATACGTGCACGCCAAGTTTGGGGGCGAGACACGTGTGCCGGGAGCAACCCGGCAGCGAAACGTGCTGAAGAGAATAGCTTTTGAGCGGTACAGAATCAAGAACATTCTTTCAGATCCCATTTTGAAATTTGTATCCCCGCCCTGAAAGAGCAAAAAAAATCATGAAATCTTTATACTATTTTGCCTCTTTCTATTTTCCTCTCGTTTTGGAGGGATGCCCCACTGCCGCCGTGTGGTACTGAGAGTGAGTATGCTCGGATGGCGAGTCTTGCCACACCAAAAGTTGATTGTCAAGAATTTCGAGCTTGCCAGGATCCGAAGCCCGGCCTGGCCCCGGAAAAATAAAATCGCAGATGACAAACTACTGTTGCGATTCCAAAAAAAGACGCTCCCTGAGCATTTTTTCGGAAACCGTGAAAACTTGACGTAGGGCGTGCACTGAAGTTGTCATGGCGCCGGTACCTTCGTGCACCCGCGCTACTCGCTCCCTCTTGTTTCACGTTTTCCCAAAAGAAACGTGAAACAATGTATTTGCTAGGGCGTTGTCTCGTGGATGGCCGACACATTCCCGGAACCAATCTGTATTGGTGATCAGCACTTTGTTGGTGACCGGCACATAAATCGTACGTACGCACACTTGGATCGTAGGTTCATTTTACCAACAGGGACAAGTTGTGTTGGTGACGGGCACCTCAATCATGCGTACGCACACTTGAATTGTACGTTCACTCTACCGGCACGCATCTGTATTGTGACCGGCACCTAATGATACGTACGCACACTTGAATCGTAGGTCCACTTGAAAGGTAAACTACGCGGGGTGCAGCAAGCCCGTCCTGGGCGTTACTTGGGGCACTGGGTAGTCGGCCGTGTTAGGCCGAGAGAGAGAGGTAGTGAGAGAGGTGGAGAGAGAGTGCGAGAAGGAAACTTCATAGGAGAGAGACGGCGGCGGCGGTGGAGATAGAGAAGGAAGAAGTGCGTAGCACGCACACAAGCCTCATCGCACCAACCACGCCAAAAGGGTCCCCGTGACTGCGCCGGTGGTACCCTACAACACACGAAATTTCCAACACGTATCCCCCTGGGATCCTCACGACCAGATACTGCTGTTGCGAATATATCTAACATCCCCCCTGCTCGCAGCAGTTTCTCACTGAAAACTTCGCTAACACCCGATATCTCAACCAAAAGAGGTCTTTCCCAGAACGTTAGTCATCAAGATTACTTCCAAATGCAAGAAAGTGAAAAGAATACCAAGAAACTTGAATGCTTCATCGCGCACAGTTAATACCTCATGCGCGGGAAACAAGCAAAACCAAAACACAACCTATTGGAAAAACAATGAACACTCATGCCAAATTCATCACAAAATCACGGTGAGACTCGAAAGTGTCCTTCGGCAAGGACTTCGTAAGAAACTCTGCACGCTGGTATGGCGACGGCACGTGGATCACCGAAATTTCCTTCGTCTCTACCAGTTCCTTGAAAACATGGTGCCTTACATCTATGTGCTTCGAGTTCGAGTTTGAGATGGGGTTCTGCGCTAGTTGAATCGCCCCCTGGTTGTCCTCGAAGACTGGGATGCACGGCATGCCGACCTGCGGCAACATGAAACGCCAAATCTGCCTCAAGAACAAGATCTCCTTCACTACGTCCCCAAGCGCAACGTACTCTGCTTCTGTCGTCGAAAGCGTAACACACTTCTGCGTTCTGGAAAACCAAGACACGGCGCCTCCTCAACACGTCACGATCCCCCCTGATACCGACCTACGGTCTGCTGCCTTGCTTGCAAAGTCCGCATCAGCGTATCCCTGCAAGNCTGCCTTGCGTGCAAAGTCCGCATCAGCGTACCCCTGCAAGCTGAATACCTCTACCGTACCTCTCTGAAATGAAATACCGAAGTGACTCGTCCTCCTCGCATACCCAAAAATGCCTATCGCTGCATCCCAGTGGACCTGCTTTGGAGATAAGCAATGCCTAGCTACTGTCCTTACATTCGCAATGTCTGGTCTTGTCTGAGTCGCCAGCCACATCAAAGATCCGACTGGTTCACGAAACGGATAGTCTGTCTCTATCTCATCCGCATCAAAATCAGAAAGCTTCACCCCCGAGGACATCGGAACGCTCTTACCTTCCACAATTCCATACTCTGCTGCTAGCTCATCCGTGAAAGTCTGCTGAGAAATCGTCAATCGACCGGACTCCTTGTTCCTCTCGTATAGCACCCAGAATAACATCTCAACTCTTCCAGGTTCTTCACTGGCACGGACTTGCTGAGGTCGGCGCCAAACTTGTCACATCTCTCCCTCTCTCCCACAGCAAAAATGTCATCTACATGTACTTCCGAAATCAAAACAACAAATCCATCCCCAATCAAACGAAACACACAAGCATCGGCCATGCACTGCTCAAAACCTTACGCCACCAAGCACATCTTCAGCATTGCATGCCACTGCCTAGATGCCTGTCTAAAGCAATATAGACTCTTGGCTAGTTTTACAATCATTCCAGATAGAGCTCCACATCCCTGCGGCAAACGCATGTACACGTCTTCCTCCAACTCCGAACGCACAAGAGCTTGCTCAATATGGAAATGACACAAGTCGAGGTTCAACTCGCACGCCAAAGCAGCCAATATCCTAACACACAAAACAGAAACGGTAGGCGCGTACAACTCTCCAAAGCCAATGTACTCTCTCTGCATATCACCTCTCGCTACAAGTCTCGAATTAACCTTAATGGGCCATCCAAACTCATCTGCCTTCCAATCGAATACCCACTTAGCGTTAATTGCGTTCTCCACTAATGGCTACTTCGCCGGAGTAAAAGACCCCGGATCCAACAAGCCATAAAACTCCCTTTTCNGGCTACTTCGCCGGAGTAAAAGCCCCCGGATCCAACAAGCCATAAAACTCCCTTTTCGTGGAGTCGCTCCACAGGTGCCGGTGCTCCAACGCCATCGCCTCTTTGTAGCTCTTTGGAACACGAAGGTCGCTGGCCTGGCAGTGCGGAAGGTAAGGGCGTTGCTCCGGCGGGCGCTGGTCTCGCAGCGTGGCGTCGATGTCTTCCCGGTTGGCGAGGAGCGTGGCACATGTGAGTGGAAAGCCCGCTCCTCCAGCCTCCGGATCCACCGCTGCGAGTGCTTCCGCCTGCTCTCCGCCCCCCGCTCCCTCCGGCTCTCCAACCTCTGCCCCCTCCAGCTCTCTGCGCTCCTCATCCACCGCGCTCCGAGCCTCCAGCATCGACACCAGAGTGTTCTTGTCCAGCATCGAGATGAGTCCTGTGCTGTGCCTTGTGCCCGATCTCGTACGGCTTGGCAGCCGCGGGTCTGTCATACCCTCGGCCTTTGTACCCGGGCGAAGCTGCCGCATGGCGTGAGCCGCAAGCGGGGGCATCGCGGGGTCCGGCGGCGGCGGCGGCTGGTCTGGATCGGGGGTCGCCGACGGTGACGGCGAAGCGGCAGAAGACGGCTGGCCAGGAGCGGGCGTCGCCGACGGTGACGACGAAGCGGGTGAGGTCGGCTGTGAAGGCGTGGGAGCGGGCGGCGGCGTGGTCGTTGGCGGCGGCGTTGCGGCAGGTGGCGAAGCGGCAGCGGGAGAGGGAGCGGGAGCGGGCGACGGCGTGAGCGCTGGCGGCGGCGGTGCGGCGGTCGAAGGCGTCGGTGCTGGGCCGAAGTTGATCGAGACGACCGGCGGCGTGAACGGGGGGGGTGTCGGCGCAGCGGTGATACCAGCGGAACCCCCCTCGCCGGCTGGCGCCGACGTCACCCACGACACGTTGTTGGTGTAGACGACGCGGCCGGTGGACGCCTTGAGGACCTTGACGGTGCCGCTCGGGTGGTTTTCGCCGCCGTTCAGGTAGTAGCAGAGGGTGGCCTGGTCGTCGAGCTTGGTGCGGCGATCCTCGCGCATGAAGCCGGGCTGGAAGAACGGCAGCACGCGGAACGGCCCTTGCTCGCCGGTGAACATCTCGTGCGGCGAGCGCCGCCCGGGGTTGGCCTTGATGACGGACTGGTTGAGAGCGTCGGCGACCCATTCCGCCGATTCCATCCTAAGACGGTCACTGCACTCGTCGAGGCCGGGGATGGAGGCGAAGTCGACGTTGAACACACGGCCAGCGCTGCGGCGGGCGGCCATGCCAGCCTTCATGATGCGCCAGATGGCGCTTTCGACGACGCCGTTGTACTGCGGGACGCCAGGCGGGGTGAACTCGACGTTGATGCCGTTGTCGTCGCAGAAGCGCCGGAAATCGCCGCGGGTCCACTCTGTGCCGTTGTCGACGCGGAAACATTCGATTCGTCCGAGGTCGTACCGCCCCACGTCCGCCAGCAGCCTTTTCGTTGCCGCCAGCGCGTCGGACTTCCGCCGGAGACCGTAGACTTTGTTCCACCGCGAGGCGCTGTCCACGGCGACGAACAGGTAGAGGTTGCCGCCCAGGGAAGGCACCAGCGGTCCACACAGGCACACACCGGTCGCCCCGGTGGTCTAGTGGGTAGCCTCGCAGCCTGCTAAGGGCCAGGTCATGGGTTCGAGTCCCGGCAGGGAGAGTATTTTCTCACTAAATAAATCCTGGTCTAGGATGAAAGCGATGCGCTGCAAAGCTCGTTTGATAGTAAACCATAATCGACTTCGTAAGTCGCAAGGGAAGGGATTGCTGTACCCTTCTCGCGATAAAAATACCTCAGGCATGAACCGCAGGAGGGGGTCCAACCTGTCCTATGTGACCCCGGTTGGGTCGTCTAGCCAGTAGAAGTGGAGGATAGGGGCCAGAGGGGCAGACGGCAGAGTCCAATGATGGGAGAGAAACAAACAAAAAACAAACAACAGGTCCAGGTGAACACGCCCGAGTGGCTTAAACGCCCGCGCTCCCGGCCCCCGCGGCACCGACACTTGCCTGCCCTTCGCCCTCATGCAGTCCGTGCACGGTTCCAGCTTGCCCGTGAGCATGATGCCTTTCTGCTGGACAGTTTCTCTCAAAAGAGGCTCGCAAGCGTGGGCAAAGGAGCGGTGGAAGNGGTCCAGGTGAACACGCCCGAGTGGCTTAAACGCCCGCGCTCCCGGCCCCCGCGGCACCGACACTTGCCTGCCCTTCGCCCTCATGCAGTCCGTGCACGGTTCCAGCTTGCCCGTGAGCATGATGCCTTTCTGCTGGACAGTTTCTCTCAAAAGAGGCTCGCAAGCGTGGGCAAAGGAGCGGTGGAAGCGGTTAATGTCAACGAACTTTTCAGTTGAACCAAGAGCAAACGGGGACGCACCAGGGCCAAGCGCGGCCGCACCCAAGTCAAAATCAGCACCCTCATCTATGCTATCCAAAACACCAGCCACATTCGCAGCGTCACTCTCTGGGACAAACACGGGGGAAAAATCTTGATATGGGGTGTCATCATAGCCATCCATGAGCTGCTCGTTGGTAAGCACACTCGTATCTCCAAGATCCATACCCGGAAAAGTATCCACACACACAAACTCGGACGCCGAAGGAGGTATTGCATTGGCAGAGTCGGCAGGCGGGACGCTCTCACTCGAAGGTATTACGCTAGCATCGCCAGCGGGCGGAAAGCACAACAAGGACACCCATGATTCCGCGGAGCCCCCTTTTTGGGAAAAACACGCGGAGCCAACGGCGGGGGCGGAATCGGGGGCAGTCACGAATGCGGGCAAAGCAGCAGAGTCTACTACAGTCGCAGATGGGTCGTATGGCAACCGCATCACATACGCTGCAGACGCTTTTTCCTCTTTAGCAAAGAGCAGTCCATTTTGTAGGGTTGCGCCACGCTCGTCGTGGAGGATATGTTGCTTCAGAGAAACAGCATGCATTGAAAACAAGTTGAAGCTCAGGCTCTCTACTACAGACAAGTCAGTGAGCTTCACACACATCGTCGTTTTTCCACCATTCTCATCCTCCTGAAAGAAACTAAGATTGATGCTACCGATAGCTTGCACTTCGAGCAGTCGACCATCACCTACAATGGCGGGGATCTCTTGCAGGTCGAACATGTGCTGGCTACTGTTGGTAAAACTGTTGCTTGCACCTGAGTCAGCTACCCATCTCTCGCCACCAGGCGGTCCCTCACTGGATTTCACACTCAGCAAAGACGAAGCAGACGCAGCAGACTTTACTCCAATCGTCACTCCTATCCTACCAAAAAACTCTTCGGGGTGGGACTTACCTAGAGGCACCGATTGTGCCGTGTAGAGGTGGAGGTAGCCCGAAGACGGAGGCGCGCCAGGAGAAGGGGTAGAGGACGAGGAGGAAGCGGTGCTGCTGCTGCTCGCAGGGGGGGGCTGACGTGGCTGCTCGGATGACGAATCTTCGCCGGCGGGAGGGTAGTAGACGTAGTGGATGCCGCCGTCAGATGAAAGGCTGCCTTCGTACCCTGAGGAGAAGCTGTAGCTGTCCCCACCGCCGGGGTAGTGGGCGTACGGGGCGTCGTGGTAGCCATCGCCGTGGTAGTATCCGTCGTGGTAGTCGCCGTAGTCTTCGTAGTAGCCACCATCATCGTGGGCGTAGTACACACGTACGCCTGCTCTCTTCCCTGGCCAGAACGCGCGTGCCCCGGGCCTCTCCCTGCCCGCTCTCTCTCGGCACGATCGTCGCTGCTGTGGCGTCCCGCGGGCCCACGACCCCCCGGGTGACGCCCCCGACGACCATCAGGCCCACGTCCACGATGAGGTGGCGGGGGGGGTGAGGCTCGGCTCCAGCCACCGCTACCATGACCGGTGTGGTGCTGCTGCCCTTCTATCCTCACCCATCGCCCGCCACCGCGGCCGGGCCCTGGCGGCGGTCTACCCCCTCGCAGGCTACCGCCGAGCGGCGTTCCTCGGCGACTTCTCTCGAACGCGCGCGCCGCAGTCGCTGCTGACAACAAAACTGCTCGTTGGTGTGAAGCTCGGACTGGTGGTAGCGGCAAAATCCGTCGGGGTCGTCGTTGAACACGTCACCCTTTTTCTTCTCTCGGTCGTGATTTTCGCCGCCAGCTGCTGCGTGACCGCCGTCTTGACTCCCGGATATCCCCCCACTGCCTCCGCCGCGCCGGCCCATGCCGGACGCGGCGAGAGCGAGCTTCACCTCGCGCCTCTCCCCCTTGCTCCTCTCGCGCTCCATCTCCACGTGGGTGTCCCTCACCGCATTCTCAAGGGTACGCAACGTCAGGACATCATGGGCAAGCAGTATTCCTTTTTGCACGGCATGCAATGACGAGGGAAGGCCACGAGCAATCTCTTTGTTGGCATCTGTTTCATCCTTAATCGTGCCTTCAGATGCCAGACGCAGGCGAAGGGCTTCTGAGCGGGCAATATAGTCCTGTGGACTCTCGGACTCTTTCATCTCCAACTCCTTCCAGTCCTGCTCCAACCTCGACTTTTCTGACTGTTTCTGCTCCTGATAGAACTCTGTCACTATTTTCCAGCCTTTTTGTGGACTCTCACACGCCAGAATCAAGCTCTGAATCGGGGCGTACAAGACCTTGCTAATGAGAATATTTCATTTCTTGAAATACTTGTCTACCACATCATTGCCAAAAATCCTCCGAAGCTCTGCTACAATCACACCCCTCTTTCCGACCTTGACCTCGACCTCCAGTTCCAACGCATCATGCACACCCTCCTACTGAAAATATGAAAGCATCTTACCACGAAAAATATCAAACATAAAATACAAGTCCTGCTCCTTCTTCACGCTACCAATCCAAGGTTCTCCTTCTGAGCCAGGATTGACACGCAAGGTGCCTGAGCGGGCAAAGCCTTGTTGTTCAGCAATGGCCTCAGCTGTCGCCTTGGCCGCTTGCGCCACAATGTGTGCGACGCTGCTGGGGTCGTTGAAGGTGGCTGGTTTGCCCTGGCTGGAGGGTGATGGCTGGTTGCCAGTAAGTGGGACTGGGTTGCCGGCTGGTGGTTGGGCGTAGGTGACTTCACCCTTGTTGATCCTGTTGGCTTCAAGTTCGGCTTGTTCTCGTTGCTGGACGATCTCCTCCACTTTTGCTTTAGCTCTTCCCCGCAAAGGGCGGAGAGGTCGATGCCCTCCATGGTGTCTGTTGTTGTGGGAGTCTACCGACTGCGCGTGACTGCACAACCCCCGGAAAGGTACGCCCGCACGCAGATACCGTGATATCACACTAGTGTGAAACGTAAACTACGCGGGGTGCAGCAAGCCCGTCCTGGGCGTTACTTGGGGCACTGGGTAGTCGGCCGTGTTAGGCCGAGAGATAGAGATAGTGAGAGAGGTGGAGAGAGAGTGCGAGAAGGAAACTTCATCGGAGAGAGACGGCGGCGGCGGTGGAGAGAGAGAAGGAAGAAGTGCGCAGCACGCACGCAAGCCTCGTCGCACCAACCACGTCAAGAGGGCCCCCGTGACTGCACCCCTGGTATCCTACAACACACGAAATTTCCAACACGTATCCCCCTGGGATACTCATGACCAGATACTGCTGTTGCGAGTATATCTAACATTCACTTTCCCGGCAGGGACCTGTGGTGCTGGTGAAGTGTCCAGGACTGTCAATAAAGTCACCTCAAATTCATCTGTCTACAAAGAGCGCATCGGCCTCGTCTGCGCGGCGAGCGACTGCTTGTACTTTGCCGCTTATCCCCTCCGGATGCAGGGCCCATCAATCTGTGAGATTTGCGCATCCTGTTGGACTTTTTTAGGCTACACTCTGCCGGCGAGTGCCCTACGTCACAGCAGCAGTACTCATCAAGATATCCTAGATCAAAGAGAGGCCGCAGCAGGGCGAACAACGGCGTTCTTGTGATTTCGCCGCACGTTTTCCAGAAATCTCCCGAAACGTAACTTTTGTTTAGCATAGAACCGTTTTTTTGTTTTTGAAGCAGACGCACTCCCGTGTTCTCGCTTTCCTCTCTCTCACTTCAGCAGGTCCCTGAGTATCGGAGTCGCGGTTACAGCATGTCACAGGAGGTAGAAGTGGTAGCTAAGACGTCTCTGGAGAGCTGTGAGGGCGCGAGGTGTGTTGTGTTGTCAACAAGTGTGTTTTTTATCGCGTCAGATACACATGGCAGCAGCGTACCATCAAAACCTATCTGCCGACCGCGCGCCCACCCCACGCCCCCACGGCACGTAAGACCGCCGCCTTTCGCCTCCTAGTATTTGTGGATGGCTTTGTGCGCGCTCGCTGTTTATTTTCAGAGCGTCGCTGCGATGTCGCGTTGTTCGCCTTCCTAACCTGCGCGTACTTTCGCACGCGAAAAAACACAACCAACCGTTCAAAATTTGAATTTTGAATATTTGAATTTTTGAATTTTTGAATTTGTTGTAGGCAAAAACTGGAAGGTACCTGCCCCGCTCCAAATGCGGACTTCGCTGTGAAGTACCCAACTGGCCGAAGTGTGTGCTCGACGACCTAAAGGCATTCGAAGCCGACCACGGATCTACGAAAACCGATCCATGTTGTCTTGGAACCCCGGTACCGAAAGACACGGCCCCGAAGTCAAAGTGAACGGAAGCCGCGAAGGTGGAGGGGGGAGTACCTTGGCATGCGGCGGTGCTGCAGGGAGCTGAGAGGTTCATGACCTCCTGGCACGAGAAGGAAGAAGAGGCCAGCCGACAACGGGCGCTCAAACGAAACCACAAGCCAACAACCAATGGGGCGGGAGGGGGGGCAGGAGACGGACGAGGCGGCGAGGGAAGAAAGCAAACGAGAAGAAGAAAAAATATAAACAAAAATAAAAGCAACTAGTGTCGGAGAGAATAGTTATCCCCGACAAGAACTTCCAACCATCAAACCTTCCCCACACCATGTGATGACTACTGAGAATCACAACGCAGACGACAAGGTTCTAGCGGGAACTGATCGCGACAGGTCCGGTCGTGGCAAATGTGGAGACGACAACGCCTCTTTCGGCGCAAAAATAAACCAGCTCACACCACTCCCTCCCCTCGGCCTGCTCCCCGGCCGGGGCCGAAATCGACCTAGTGAGTCCCTCGCGGGCAAACCAGGCCACAACAGATAGTAGGTGGGTAGTGTCCCAAGGTGCAACTCACCGCCGCGCTGGCTCAGCGTGGCGGTGAGGATGCACAGACGGTGGTAGTGGCGAGAGGTGTGTATGGACACTGTTCCCGCAGCAGTAATGCAAAGCGGCAAACTGCACCTGGCAACCACCGTCGCGGAAAGCGCGGCCCACGAAGCTGGAGGAGTAGAGAGATTCGTAAACACCACGTCAGTAAGCACCGCTCGCGGGAGAAGGGAGACA